AAATCATCATGACGCCCTGTGGTTAAGGTCTGGTTAGGTTTAGGCACAAAAACCACTTGGTTAGAGTCAGGAAAAGATCATGGTGTGGGTTAAAATGAAAAAGAAAGTGGCAAACACATAAGCCGTGAGCCTGCTCTGCCTCAAGCCGGTCGCGGCGCACCATACGCCTGCCATGAGCCGTTCAGCACCGCGGACAGTCGGACTAATGGGATGTCGAACCAATGGGCTGTCGAACCAATGACATGGACCCATATGAAGCCAGTCATATGGAGGCTTTATTGTCTTCACAATTTGTTGTGTCTTATTGCTGAAATAAAAGTAAATGAAAGCTCTGTTTCCACTGAGGGAAAGGGTTAGGGTTAGGGTTGTCAGCTTAAAAAATAGACAGGAGGTCTGCGTTGCCACGACGTGTAGTTACATTTCTGGGAAGATGCACGTCAGGCTACGGCTTAGGGTAAGGCATAGGCTCTATGTCATTGCAGAGGTACAGTGTAGAGCTCATTTGTGCTTCACGTTAGAGGCAGACACGGACGAAACCTTCTGTCTGTTCTCTGCATTCATTTCGTCCATATTTGTGCACATTTTCTGAAAGCTTACAGAGACAAACGAAACGGAGCAGAACCACAGATGGTGGAGGCAGTGTAGCATAGATCAAGTGAAATACGACAGTAGGAGACAACAATGAAATCTTGAAAAAATGGTGGAACAGCACAAATTGATAATGCAGTGAAAAGAATTCTCTGTCCACATGTGGGGATATATTGGATGACCTCACAAACCCCTGCCACCTACAACACTGCCTCTTCCACTGTTGCTTCGTTTGCTGTTGTGTGAAACTTTTGACTCCATCCTCTGGTGCCATCTATTGGCTGTATATATGACATCATAATGGGTTCACACCAAACGCGATGCAAATTTTCACGTCACATTACTCGCATGAGTTTTAATGCCAGAATATTTTGTGTTGACTTGCTTCATACGTGCATGATATCACTGACTTGATGAATAAACTTCCGCTGGTACATCCTTGGTGTCATGCGTGCCAGGAGGATCTCAATGCTGATTGGCTATTGCGACAAAAATCTGTCGCTTTAGATTTAATTTTTAGTTAAAATTTTCAACGCGAAATCGCGCTACCTGCTTAACCCTATGGGCCCAAACGACGCATAGTGCGTCCAAATTCACACCTGTTCTTTTCTGTGGATTTTCTCCGCGACCATGCATATCACGTGAAACAGCGGAATCATAGCTTTCCAACAAGACCAATCACTTGTCGGTAGTCCAATGTTTTCACAGTGAAAAAAATGATAAAGTTACACTAAAATTATGTATAACAGAGCTTTCATACAGCTCTGCACACACATTACTCTTGGATGGATTACTCGCGAATGCAGGCTCGCACAGAAATGCCACGCATATCACATGAAAGTGCAGGAGTAGAGCTTTCCAGGGATACCACACACATCATTATGCTGTCATCCCATCACGCTATAAATCCAGATCAAGTGTCTACAAAATAAAAACCTGATGAATTTCTTTACAATCCATTATACAGATCTAGTTATCAGTCACTTCATATAGTGAGGAATATCGTATCTTACCATGTCTTAGGCTTGCATGTATTTCTCCCTGTCTATCCACATTTGTAGTCCGGCTTTCAAGATGCAAATATCTCCATATTGTCCAGTTGACACTCCATCAAACTTTGTATGACAAGACCAGCCACTTCACCTTTGCGCACCCAGACAACTGTAGCCTAATTATGCATGCTGACAGGGCCGTAGTCACCATATACATTGAGGGGGACATGTTTCCCCCCACCCCAATGCCCAAAATGCTCCCCAGTATATAACTGAAACTGAAAAACAACAACAAACTTTGTTTACTGCAAACGAACTGACAAATATTATCTTGGAGGACATCATTGCACTTGGTTGACTATATTTATATGATCTTAGATGTAAATATTGCATGTTTCTTTCAGATAAAACACATTTTTGACTTGTGAATGAGTCAATGGAATTTCTTGCAATAATGAAAAAATACTGGCAATCATGTCCGCCTGGCACAAACCACGTGTTTGGACAACTGTGAAGTGACCGAGTGTCCCACCATCATGGTTCTTATATTGCCAGATTCCAGAGAGTCTCCCCTCTTCATATATGGCAGAATATGTCTTCTTTCAACTTGCTATGTGTGCTATGATACATGTAAAAATGTAAGAATTTAGTCACACGGATTTGTTTTTTTCATTGATGTAAAAACTAATATAAAATACAGGCACATAGTAGGACATGAAATGATGGCAAATCTGATTAGCCCAGATTGTCCTAAAAAAAAACAAGATATATCATGTGTATGTAGCCTTTATAATGACTGTGATATGAGCTTAAAAGTAAAGGCAGTAAAAATACCCCAAAAACGCCTAGGGCCCCTAGGGTTAATTTGCATAGTTTGCAGCATTTGCATCGGTCGCATCCATTGTATTGCTCGGTAGGAATATACATCTAATCGCATCTTCACATTGACTTTTCATGTGATTCACTCCTGCTAAGTCTAATACAGATTCTTTTGTACTGATGCTGCTGGTTGATGTCAGGTGTATTAATATCAGGTAGGCTGGATTGGACTCCTTGGCGGGCTGATTCTGGCCCCGGGGTCGTATGTATGACGCCCCTGTCCTACATGAGTATAGTCCATTTTAAAAGTCCACATACAGTATGAGTGTAAGTAAAATTACAGCATAATCGTGGATCTTTAAAACACAGCACACACGTCATACCAATACATATTAGAAATTGCCACTATTTAAGTTACATTAGTCAGTGTATTATTCTCATCAGACTTTTACAGTCTTTGTATTAACTACATTCAGATAAAGTCATTTATGTGCCCATCGATATAAAAGCTCTCATACATCATATCACTGGAAACAAATCCTGGTTAGATTTTCATCTTGTGGCCACATTATCATAAAGATAAAGCTGTGATGTCCTTCTGCTGCATTACTCAGAAGTAGACTCATGGAGGATGAAAGGGGCCTGAAAAGAGGGAGTCAGTCAATCAAACGGCTCATGCTTAGTAACACACCGATGTATATTTTATTTATTTATTTATTTATTTTTTCTTGGAAATGAATCAATTTGGGAGCTAATGGGAGATGTGCCAGCTCTGAGGTGATGTTATTCAGGTTGACACAGGCTGACAAATGAGAGTGCAGCACTGAAAGGGCAACAACAACCAGACAAGCTGAGAGAACAGGCAGCGAGTAGGACTGACAGAACAAAGTTAAGACACTGATGATGCTCTGAGTGTGACATGTTGGTAAAATGCTTTTCTGGTAATAATCACACGAATAGCTAAAAATCTGGTGTTTAAAATTCATAGACAGAATGTTAGGTTCTAATGCTTAGCACATCTATGAGGGTGGCAACAGTCCACATGGCCAAAGTGATGGCCCCCCTTTGTGGGAGCCCCGTGTTTTTACCTGTCTGAGCATAGCTGACATTTTGTAACTATGTGGACGCCAATGGGCAGAGATGTGAAGAACCAAGCACTAGATTTTTAGTTTTTGTTACACAAACCCCTACAGTTTGAGAAAATGCACACAGAGTATTTAATTTAATTTAATTATTATTTTTTAGTTGATTTCATTATTTTTTTTAAGTAATTGTTGTTTTTTGTGATTTTTTTTAAAGTAAATTACTTATATACAGGAAATTACTTCATAAAAATGCCAACAAGTTAATGAAATACCCTATTTTCAATCACTTTTCTGTCCATTTGTAATTACATTTCTGAAGTAAGATATCCATACTGCATATTGGCCTCTTTATATCAAACAGTATTTAATTTTGCCAGTACCAGCTGCCTGTTGCTTGGTAACTTTATCCTTTTTTAGAGGCTTTGATTGGTGATTTTTAACAGGAGAAAGTGCCGCTATACTCTGTTAATGTCATTCCCCGGCTCCAGGTACACTGCTACATGTAGCTACATGCTAACAGTAAGGAAATATGTACTCTTGGATGCCAATGTTGTTAATTTCTCCCTCACTTCAGATCATATTCCTGCTGGAACATGTCAAGTTGTGTTTATTGGTGATTTTTTCATGGTAAAATGTGCCGCTATACTACGTTACAGTCGTCCTATGGCTGCAATGACAAAGATATACGACTAGGACAAACTGACCAATCCGTGCCAACTGGGCTTTTTTAGGAGAAAGGCTTAAAGAAACAGTACCTCAGAGGGTGAATACAGGAGTTAAAGGAAAGACAAAATGAGGAAATTAAAGTATTTTTTGGCCATGAAAGCATGTAAATGTTCTACTAGCAACCTGAAAATGACATATACACAGGTCCTCTTTAAGGTTTGAAAAAGATTCATAATTTGTTTAAATTAATTTGTTTAAATGCCTGCCAATTCATGTTTGGTCGTGACTGTTCATACACAGCTCCATCCTCAGCCTGGAAATATCTGTGCTTTGGAAATAAACACAACACAAGCACACCAAGTGATCATTATTTTAGGTCAGGTGTCCAACCATACAGGTCAAAGTGAAGCACGAATATGAATAATGTGTTTCTTTAGGTCTGTGTACAGCCCTGTGGAGGCTTTTATATTTAATATCCCTGCTGCCTTTTCACTTCAATTAAATGCAGCTTTATTAATCCCAAAGGGGGCGACTCATTCAGGCACCAAAAGGTCTAAAAGGTGATTACTAGTGGGCTCTAAAGTAGGAAGTACACATATTGTGGAGAAAACCTAAACCCACACACTATTGTGGCATTAATTCACTTCTGATTTAGCTAGCATTTGCAATATGTGCCTGCTTCATACAGTAACATCCTGTAGTTGGTCACTCTTGAGTCTGATCCTGTTCACATTAATTGTACGTGTTCTTTAAGGTCCTGTAATTACCCAGCAGCCAACTGTACAAATCTCAAATCAATGCCTGTGCTCTTTCTTTCTTTTCTGTTCTTTTTTTCTTCTCTCATTCACAGGAAGCTACCGCTGAAGGAAGAAAATGGAAAAGAGTCTCTCAAGCCGGATACGATTGAAATCAAAGTGCACAGTGACAACAGCATTCACACAAAGCCCGACGACAGCAAAGCGTAAAAGGGTCGGTCCCCTCGGCACCAAAAGAACATTCGGATCACGAGACCAAAACCCAGAGAAACTACAACACTGGAAAATAGTGGAGTAAAATACCATATCTGTTTATAACAATGCCCCAGTGACAGGCATGTGTAAATACAAATAATAGGGATAAAATAGAGAGAAAGGGTCAACCTTTTAGACACCCTGAGTGATAAATGTATCATGTTCTTAAAAACATGGCGTCAGTGGAAGGCTCTTGTTGATCAATGATTGTATTTTCCTTTTTTTCTGTTCATGACCATTTTTTTTGTTTTGTTTTTTTGCTTTACAGATTCTCATGCAGTTAAAGGGTGAAAAATCAGTCCCCACTATTCTTACACAAAGGCAGGCAAAGCTAGTGTGCTATTTCACCCCCAAGCTCACATCGCTTAATGCTTTCCTTTTTTTGTCAGAGTGAATGCATGGGCCAACCCACACTGCAGGATCACAATTATTTAATCGCCTGTTACCATGCCTGAGTGTTACACTATAGCAACCTTTTGTACGCCTTTAATAGCCGAGCTAGGCGTCTGGCTAATGTGAGGCAAACGCTGAGGCTATTGTGCTCCCAGCTCCAGCAACAAAATAATGAGATTTTATTGCTTCAGGAAAATATGACGTTTGTTCCTGGGTGAAAAATTGTACCAACCAGGACCTGGTTATTAACTATTAAGAGGAATTTTGTCTTGATATTTGATGACTTACACTTTATGAAGGGCTATTGTGGATCATAGTTTCATAACATTAAAAAAAAGACAAAAAGAAAGAATGTTGCAGTCTATGAAGTATACAGCATAAACCACACATGTGCATCGATGCCTTTTATATTGACACTCAATATCTCTTTAACTGTCTCATTCTCTAACAATGTATGTTTTATTCATGTGTGTTCAAACAGTAAGTACACTAGTGCAAGAGGTTAACTGCACTTAGAGCTGATGTGAGCTTGAGTAATGAAAAAAAAAGGCCACAAATGCCCTGAATTGTGTCATGTAATTGTTGCGATGCGAATGGTAGGACTCAAGGCATGGGAACAAACGAGTAAAGGTGTGCTAACGATAAATCAAATGTGTGTCAGGTTTGTTTTTAATGATTTCTTTACTCATTCCTGTCTCAGATCTGCCTCATATATTTTTTTGTTTCCCAGTCTGATCGCTATTCTCTCTGATGTTGTCATGTGTTGTACATAGGTGAAAAAAAAACAATATTTTACAGAGCTTTTATGTAAATATACCCTAAAGGATGTGTCTTTTTTCAAAATGCAACAGGCTTGGCTTTTTTTGTGAACGCTCCTCAGATGAAAAGCTTTTTTTTGTTGTTTTGTTTTCTTTTGTTTTTTTTCTTCTGTTGTGTTTTGGTCCAAAGTTCAGTGATGGTGTAATATTGCTTTTTCTACTCATTTGCTTTCCCTAAAGAAAATCCATGCCCTGAGGCTATTTCACGGTATTTCAATGGAGACAGTAATTACGGCATTAGTGTGCCTTCTCTCTTTTCTTTTTCCTCCTACCCCCCTTGTGGCCCAATGCCGCCGCAGCACTGTAGACCTTCAAATGAATTTTTGATCGTGCTGCCTTTTCCACCTCAGAATGTGTCAGAACATTGAGTTTTCTTGCGGTGCTGTGACTTCTGGGAGATGTAATCTTAGGATTGTGGATTGTAGTCAACGACACTGGACTGAAACAGACATGTATAACTACCTAGTGCAACTAAATGTCAGGTTGATCCTCAAAGTAATGGGCTGCAGAAATGTGGTTGTAATGTCGTGTGTGTGAACTTGTACAATGTACATAGTGAGGACCACATTTTTAACCAACAGAGTGAGGACATTTTTGGAAAATGAGGACACCTTGGACTGTTGTCACTTATTCAAAGGCCTGTTTGAGGGTTAAGCCTTGGTTTTAAGGTTCAGGTTAATTACTATTAGGTTGAGATTAGGGTAAGGGTTGGAGTTAAGGATTATGTTGTGATAGTTAATGTTAGGAGAATGCATTATGTCCAAGAGGGTCCTCACAAAGAGAGAAGTACAAGTGATTGTGTGTATGTATGTGTATCAGGTAGTTCTTCAAAGTAATGAGCTGCAGAAGTGGGGTTTTAATGTGTGTGTGTGTGTGTGTGTGTGTGTGTGTGTGTGTGTGAGAACTTGTGCAAGATAGATAGTAAGGACCTTGTAATTAAACAACAGAGTGAGGACATGTTTGGAAAGTGAGGACATTTTGGCCCAATGTCTCCTTCAAAGGTTTCTTTGAGAGATTAAACATGGTTTAAGGTTAGGGTTACAGTTAGGCTCAGTTTAGGGTTTAGGTTAGGCTAAGGAGCTAGGGAACGTTAATGTCAATGAGGGTCCTCACAAAGACAGAAGTACAAGAATATGTGTGTGTGCATACATGCATGAGCGAATGAGTACACTTGTCTACATGAATCAGGTTGCATGTATGTCTGTTGAATGTATCTGCACGTACTGTAAGTTAAATCTGTTTTTGAGTGTGTGCCCATTTAGATTTTTCACAATAAGAGTCTCCCAATTTCAGCTAATCTCCTAAATTAAAGAGTTAAACTTGCTATTATTTTGTTTATAATTTATTTGTTAGGTTTATTATCTATTTATATTAGACTCAAGTGTATTATGAAGTACACTTTTTCAGCTCCGTGATGCATCGTGCAGCTCTGCAAGTCGTTTTGATGACCACGTGCCAAGTACAAATGTCCGAGCGCTACGAGTGTGTTCCTCTTTGAGTTGGCGAGAGAGCTCTCACGCTGAGTTTCAGAGTGCGCTCTGATAGGTAAAACCTGATTATGTAGTTCTCGACAGTGATTAATACCCCAGGCTGCAGCACTCCATGCATGTGTCTGCGAGCTACCCCCCCTCTGCCGCTGCCGCCACCACCCCCTCACCACTATTCCCTCTCAGACTCCATTGGTTTTTATCTCAGACCTCATAGCGCTGGCTTTGTTTTCTCCCGGCGAGCCCTTGTACCTGCATATCTTAAATGGATGGCCCTGCCATGGAGTGGTTCTGCTGCCTGTTACGATGACTGTAAATATGGGAGCACAGTGCCTGGAGGCTATACGATTTGTACATGTTCTTTTGTATTTGAATATGAGTCTAAATACCCAACCACCCCCTCTTCCCCTTCTTATCCTCAACCTCTCCCCAATCTTCCCTTCCTCTCTGTCTCCTTCCACCATGCCTCGGTCCTTTTTTCTGTAGGGGGTTAAACAGGTGTGTTTGAGCTCAGTGTACAGTATGTGTCCTCTTTGTCCCCATGCTCCCCCCGTGTCCCATGGACTGTCCCTGCTGAGTGTGCTTTGTGCAGGAGGTGGGAACTATTGATGTCTCTCTGTACGTACCTGTGGAACACTTGTGACTCCTGTCATTTGCCGCTGTAAATAAACATGTCCTGGTAGAAGAGAGTGAGACGTTGCCATTCATTGCTTCATTTTTGAGTCTTCACCGGCTCCCCAGCTTCTATGTTTGTGTGCAAAGGAATCATACAAGTGTTTCTAAGCTGTAGCTTTGAGCAAAAGTAATAATTTTACACAATATCTTTTTTTATTAAAAACTACTTCAAGATGAGGTTCACCAAATAGATTATGCAGTAGCAGCAAAGTCTCCAGAAGAATATCTCGGCATTATGCATTTCTGCAAACCACGAACAAGTTACATTTGTGTGTTTCATATGTTTTAACACTTCTAAAGTGACCTAGTGTATGAGCTGACTTTCTCTTTTGGAAGTGGATGGCATGGCACCAAGGCAAGTCGCTGGCCAAACTGCAAACCAAAAAACCAAACCAGTTGTTTTTTCGCGAGTTATTGCTGTATTTCCAGCAGCTTTTTAGCCACCAAAACTGGGAGTTTTCAGCTGGGGAGATTGGCACAAAAAGAGGTTGTTTTTACAGAGAAACTGCTGTGTTTCCTGCTGGTGTGGTGCCATGAAAAGTGATTGTTTTCTATGGAAAAACTGCTGCGTTTCCTGACGCAATGGTGCCATGAATAGCGCTTGTTTACCACGGAGAAAGTGCTGCTTTTCCTGCCAGGATAGTGCCACAAAAAGTGGTTGTTTGCTATGGAGAAATTGCTGCTTTTCCTGCCAGAGTGGTGCCATGAAAAGCGGTTGTTTTCTGTGGAGAAACTGCTGCCCTTCCTGCTTGGATGGTGCCACAAAAGGTGGTTGTTTTTATACGCAGAAATCACAGCGTTTCCTGCTGGGTTGATGCCACAAAAAGCAGTTGTTTTCTACAGACAAACTGCTACATTTCCTGTCACAGCGGTGTCGTTGTTTTCTACAGAGAGGACGCTGCTTTTTCTGCCAGGATAATTCCATGAAAATTGGTTGGTTTTTACGGAAGCATCACTGCATTTCCTGCAGGGATTGTGCCACAAAAATTGATATTTTTAAGGAGACATCGCTGCTAAATAATGATCTAAAATTGTAATGTATCCACTATTTGTTGATATGTTCAATGCCAACATTTTTGGGGGCAATTGGATTGGTAGATTTAAAAAAAAAACAAACAGATTTTGGGAAATATTTACTTTATGCCTCAGAGTTAAACAAAAAGATTGATACCACTCTCATGTTTGTATAGTAAACATAATGCTAAATCCAGCAGCCAATAAGCTTAGCAAAAAGATTGGAAACTGGGGGAAACAGCTAGCCTGGCTAGATTGTGGTCAATCTTTGGGGGATAATATAGCTTGTAACTGCCTTTATTATTACTATTTATCTGCTTGCACAAACAATCAGAAATCTTTAAGATAAGAATTTACTAACCATGTAAAACACTGGTATTGCCTTTAAAGCTCAATTCAGTCTTGAATTTTGGAAATTTTTGGTTTTAAATAACTTAAACTAATTTATATATACGTTTTTAGGCAACCAACATGTCTACTAATATGCCCAGAGCCCATTTCATCAATGTTAAATAAATAAAAAATGTGTAGTAGGAGCATTAAACTAAATGTGAAATGAAATTCACTGTGAGGAAATGTAACAAGAGGGGGAAAAGATACAGTCATAGATACTGATACTGGGTGAACATTTCATTATAATCCTGTGTCTTGTAACGGGCCGTGCTGTAGCCTGGTGATAAAAGCAGACTTCTCCACAAAGACACAACTTTAATAGCTTTTAATTTTTTCGCCGCTGAAGTCGGCAGAGATCATTTTTTTCCAGGGGACAGAGTGCTACATTCATCAAGGTCATTCCTAAACCTCCATTAGTCCCATTTTAAATGGTAACTGCATTGCATCTTAAATCTGGCTTCCCTTCCTTGAAACAAGCGCTTTAATGATAAAAAACAGAGAGACTGAGAAGCCCTGCTCAAAGGAGGAATTAAAACAATTCTGAATAGCATGGAGGAGCCACTGTGTTCCTTAACAAAGCTGCCCCCTCTTCGGCATTCATTTGAAGTCAGCAGATAACGCTTCTCAGACGTCTCCCTCCCACGAGAAGGAGAGAGGGAAGCAGCAGGCTGCCTGTTGGATCCTGGCTGCAAGGGCCTCTGTTAACAAGGGGAACAAACTTCAACTTCGTTTCCCACAGGGGCTCAAAGGAAGTCTGCACATCAAACACTGAGTCTCATTTGGATGAAGAGATGCGGAGAGGAGCGATATTGGCCGCTCTGGGGGGTAAGAAGGTGGGGGCACTGGGTGGGGACGAGACGAGCAAAAGGAGAAGACGCCAAATCATCCTCTCCTTCACTTTGTCACGTGCACACCTGACAGGTGATTATTCTCCCCCCACATAGGAAGTTAGACAGAAGTGTTGGACTGCACACAAACACACACATAAGCAAACACTGTTTTAGTGTATTGAGCTCTGCTGGGAAGTCACACACCACATGGAAAGATAGCGCACTAAGCCTTCAGGTAATATTTCTCCCCTAATCTTTCCGTTTGCAGAGACTCCCATGATACTGTACGCTGACAGCACCTTAATCCCAACTAGAAGAGAAGTTCAGGAAGTGTGGGGAGAAATCTCCCTGCCATTGTTGAAGTTTTCTCTCTCATACGCTCGCATGCACTTAAATGCCTCCTCTCAGATGCTTGGACGCAGAATTCCACTGTGAGATGCACACACACAAACTCTATTTGAAAACTTTGCCCACATGCGAGGGAAGTGGAGCGTCCCCAAACTCTTAGCCTCGTGGGCAAATCCAGCAGAGAGCTTTTTGGCAGGTACGACAGGGACGACACTCCTCTGATTTGACAGGAGAGGATGGGAGGTATGTGTGTGTGTGTGTGTGTGTGTGTGTGTGTGTGTGTATACTGACTAATTCTCATTCAAGAATTATGATACAATAAATCTGTCATGGCAGAAAAGTATTGTCTCACCTCTGATGAACCTCTGACCACGCCCAGCAGTGATGTAATGTTTCACTAACATTACATCACTCACAGAGTGTGCAGCCAAAGCAGGTTTTCTTAGAGTGTGGAGTTTTTTTTATTGTTTGTTTGTTTTTGTAAAATTAACTGAGGTCTCTAACAAAACCTAAACTTCTATGGACAGTTGACCTCAAATTCAAAAATATATACTTTTCCTCTTACCTGTAGTGCTGTTCATCAGTCTAGATTGTTTCAGTGTGAGTTGTAGAGTGTTGGAGATATCAGCTGCAGAGATGTCTGCCTTCTCTCCAGTATAATAGAACTAGATGGCACTTGTGGTGCTTAAATCACAGAAAAAAAGTACATTTTAAAAACTCAACAGCAATGTCTCTTTTCAGAAATCATGACCCAGTTACTCAAGAAAATCCACAGACCCTGTTGTGAGCAGTTTCATGTAGGAACTTTCTACTGATCTACACCCACCAACTGTATCACTGCTTAAGGTTCAATCATAGTTCCTTTACATATAAAAATAGATACGTCTATTTCAAATGTTGTAAATGTCACTGCCCTCATACTTTCACGCGCTCTAAATGATGGAATATGTAACAACACATTCTCACCCCAACCTCATCACATATCGACATTTGGTCATGGACATTCTACATCCAGACACAGCGTACAGTAATAGGTAACCTGGGTACCCTGGTCAAGTTCTGCCCACCGCAAATTGACGTCTTTTTTCCTTCAACAACAATGACGTGGTAACATTTAGTCAACACGTGTGGTTGGGTTTAGGAAAAAAGAACAGGGTTTGCCTTCAGTCTTATGGGAAGTCAACACCAGCCTCCAAGGTGAAAGTCGGTGGTTGTCGGACCCGTCCACCACCGCTCCCACCTGCCCTACTCAGACTTTCGCCCCATTTACTTTTGCTCTTGTCCCGCTGCATTTCCCCCTGACACCACTAGGCGCTATCAAACTATAACAGCAACTGGCAGCGTATCATGCTTGATTTTGACGACTTCGGAGTGAGACCAGGTTGTTGGAACAGACATCACTGCATAAAATGAGCCAAAGTGACCTCTAGGATAAGCACAGCCTCATGTCACTTGAAACTCATTGTATATTGACAATAAGGAGGTTTCTCAGCAGTTTCCAGAACAGAACTGTTCGCTATACAATTGCCAGAAAAAAAAAAATTCTTACAGAAATCTCCAAATGTCAAAAGTTTCTGATGCCAAATTACAGCAAGGATTTTTCTGTGGTTTTCCTCAAGGTCTTAAATGGAGCATCAAATCTGTAAAACAAATATTATCAAGCCAAAAATTGCTGCAGCAACTCAAACGACATAATGAGTCATCACCCAAGCGCCAGATTTCGATGACTTTGGGGTGAGACTGGGTTGTATTTATCGGCAATAGATGGCATCAGAGGGCAGAGTCAAAAGTTTCACACAATAACTAACAAGGTGACGGTTGAGGAGGTTGTATTATTTTACTTTTAAACAGAGGAAGCATTGTAGATGGTGGTGGTCTGTGCGGCCTTTATATACAGTACATACCGGCATGTGGGCGGACAATTCCTTTCACTATAATGCAGATTTTTTCCGTTCTGCCATGATTTACATTTCTTCATTGTCTCCTGTGGTCACATCTCGCTTGGAATTTGCTACACTGCCACCACTACACCCATAACAATGTCTGTGGGTTAGCTTGAGTAGCCGGGTCATGATTTCTGGAAAGAGACATTGCTGTTGTATTTCTATGGCGCTTTGAGCACCACATGCCGAGTGCCATCTAGTTCCATTATACTGGAGAGAGACAGACACAGCAGCTCACAGAGTAAACTGTTGGGTGGCAGTAGTTCATTCCATAGGGACCTGGGTTTGGATCCAGAGGGTCACAGGTTCGAAGTCCCTGTCCAGACTAAATATGGATTGTGGACTGGTAGTTGGAGAGGTGCCAGTTTGCCTCCTGGGGACTGCCGAGGTGCCCCTGAAGGCACCAAACCACCAACTGAGTCCTGTTTGTGCGTATGTGTATTTTGGGCCTGTGTGTGAATGACAACATAGTGAAAAAATTCAAAGTATA